CTCCACAGTGCCATCATGGAGCCCGATGCGGGGCTCAAACTCACAAACTATGATATCATGACTTGAGCTGAAACCAAGAGTCATATGCTCAACCAACTGAGCCACCCAGGTGCCCCACACTCCTTGCTTTTAAACTAAATTACAAAATTATAGCAGATCAAAACAGTATGGTTTTGGCATAGAAACAGACATATTTATCAGTGGGACAGAATAGAGAATCCAGAAATAAGTCCATACATACATGGTCAGTTTACAACAAAGGAGCCAAGAATATACAAGGGAAAGGATGGTCTCTTCAATAAATGATGTTGGGAAAACTGGACAGTCACATGCAAAAGAGTGAAAGTGGAATACTTTTTTTTAACTCAAAATGGTTTGAAGACTGGAGCCTAGGACCTGAAACCATGAAGATCCTAGAAGAAAACATAGGAGGTAAGTTCCTTGACATAGGTCTTGGCAGTGACTTTTTTAATCTGTCTCCATAAGCAAAGGCAACAAAAGGAAAAATAAGTAAGAGGGATTACTTCAGAGGTGCCTGGGTGGCTCAGATGGTTAAGCATTTGAGTCTCGATCTTATCTTAGGTCTTCATCTCAGGGTCATGAGTTCAAGCCCTGCATTGGGCTCCACACTGGGCTTGAAGCCTACTTAGAAGAAGAGGAATAACTTCAAACCAAAAAGCTTCTGGACAGTAAAGGAAATAAGATAAGAAGGCAACCTACTGAATGGGAGAAAATGTTTGCAAATAGTATTTGCTAAGGGGTTAATATCCAGAATATATAAAGAACTCATATAATTCAGTAGCAAAACACAACAAAACAACAACCAGTTCCATTTAAAAAATGGGCAGAAGATCCTAATAGACATTTTTCCAAAGATAACCTACAGATGGCTAACAGGTATATGAAAAGATGCTCTATGTCACTAATAATCAGAGAAATGCAGATGAAAACCACAATGAAGTATCACCTCACAACTGTCAGAATGGCTGTTATCAAAAATATAAGAAATAACGTGTCGGCAGAGATGTGGAGTACACTGGTCAAAATGTGTATTGGTGTAGCCACTATGGAAAACAGTATGGAGCTTCCTCAAAAAATTAAAGTAGAACTACCAGATGACGCAGCAATTCCACTTCTGGGTATTTTCCCAAAGAAAATGAATATACTAACTTGAAAAGATATAAATGATCCCCATGTTCATTGCAGCATTATTTACAATAATCAAGATATAGAAGCAACTGTTATATGAATGGATAAAGACAACATATTTATACAATGGAATATTTCAGCCATAAAGAATGAAATCTTGCTTGCCATTTACAACAACATGGATGGAACTCAAGGGCATTATGCTAAGTTAAACAAGTCAGAGAAAGACAAATACCTTATGATCTCACTTCTATGTGAAATCTAAAAAAAAAAAAAAAAACAAAACAACAAACCAAACCAACAACAAAAAAATCCAAGCTCATAGATAACAGAAAAGAAATTGGTAGTTACCAGAGGTGAGGGATGGGGGGGTGGGCAAAATGGGTGAAGGGGATCAAAAAGTAGAAACTTGCAGTTAGTAAGTCATTGGGATACAATTTGAGATGCTGACTACAGTTAATAATACTGTATTGTATGTTTAAAAGTTGCTAAGAGAAATCAGAAGTTCTCACCACAGGAAAAAAAAATTAAACTATGTTACGTATGGTGATGGATATTAATTAGACTTATTGTGATCATTTCACAGTACAAATACTGAATTATGTTGTGCAGCTGAAAATAATATGTGCCAGTTATACCTCAAAAAAAATCCCACAAAGAATGCATGGTCCCCTTTTCCACACATTGGCCCGTGCACTCCCAGGCTCTTCCTTATACTGTCTCATGGAAGCCCGCATGGACTATGACCTGAAAACTCTTGAGTACAGAGACCAGTGTCCCTTTTCCTTATATAGATAGGTTTGTGCTTGCTACCCAACTTTTCAAACATTATATTGTTTAAAGATGCATATGTGCATATATGTGGTCTAGAGAGGCAAGCAAAAAGACAGTACAGAATTCAGGATAATGGCTATTTCTAGGGGGAAATACGGGGTTTGTGAGTGGGAAGATACAGGAAACTCCTAGCAGGGCTCCCACACATGGCCGTTTAGGTCGTTCACTGCAGAACTCTAGGGGAAGCCATATATATACATAAAGTCTGGCTCCTCCAGTACTAGAGAGAATCCATTTTTTTTTACCTGAGGGCTGGGTACAGGCATTCATATTCTTCTCTAAAAAGAGTATTATTTCTCTACAGAACAATGCATACCTTACTGATTACAATAGGAGTTGGCAAACTTTTCCTATAAAAGGCCAGATATAAATATGTTAGGCATTATCGCACAGAAGTTCTGCATCCCAACTACTTAACTCTGCTGTTAAGTGTACAAGCAGTTACAGATGATATATAAATGAGTGGGTGTGTCTGTGTTCCAAGAAAACTTTATTTACAAAACCAACTAGCTGGATTTGGCTTGGGGCTGCAGTACGCCAAACCCCAGATTACACAGTTAAACCTTTAAAAGAAAAAAAAAAAAAAAAACAACTATCTGTGGTTTGTCTAGTGGATTCAGAGTAGAGCCTGGAACAAAGGATTCACTGGAGGTATAGCAGGAAGGTCAGTAATGTCGTTTCCTGCAATCCATGTTTTTAAGTAAGTTATGACTGAAAATGTTGGATCTGACTTTGTCCAACTATAATGTAAGACATTGAGAGAAAGTTGTGGCTCAAACTTGGATTTAAGGAAACCATTTTCATCAAAATGATACAGACTAATTCTTCATTAGAAGCAACAAACCCAATAACCGTATCACCTGTCGTTAACTGATCACTACCAGATGTCAGACATAATGGCCAGGAACTTCACACGTTATTTTCCTCACAGCAGTTCTTCAAAGTGGGTTTGTTTTGGGTTTTTTGGTATCCATTTTGCAACCAAGAAAGGCTGACTTTTCCAAGGTCACAAAGCTAATAAAGCTGAGATTTGAGCCATAGTTGTCCAGCTTCAAAGTTCAGTCTGTTTTCTACAGCACACTGTCTCTATAGAAGGCTTTCTGTTTTAATGTCGCCAAAATCAATTTGGTTTTAGATTGTCTTCGCAGTTTTACTGACTTAGAAGAACTCGATGAGACAGAGTTATATATGTGCCACAAATGCAAAAAGAAACAAAAATCCACTAAAAAGTTTTGGATTCAGAAACTACCCAAGGTAAGCATGGAGTTTCAAATTATGCAATTTTGAGGGGAAAAATGTTTATGATTGATGAGAAGACAAATTATTTTTGTAACTTTAGCCTATGTGATCTATTCTGTATTGGTCTCTAGAGTTTTCAGCAAGAGGTAAATAAACCCTTTGAGAATGTATAATTAATGTGTCCTGATCACAATTTCCAGTATGTGGAGAGGATGGTTTCCTATCACACCACTGCTAAGCAGCCAGCTGGGTGTCCTACAATTCAGTGCAACTCTGACACTGTCAAAGCCAGTGATAGTGATCAGATTCCACAGGTTCAGGGCTCAGTCCCATAAGACTACCTCTGCTTCAGAAGCCCAGCAAATGCAGCTTGTTACTTTATGCTTCTGCCCAACAGGCTAGACATGTATATGAGGAGATGCATAGGGCAGGGTCCTGAACAGAGGAGCTTCTGTCCTTGTGGAGTTTGGGCCTGGCACAGTAGCACTTTGAAGTGTTCTGGTTCCCCATCTGAAAGCTCTCCAAACGTCTCCTTTACGATTTTTATGGAGCCTTCATTACATAGGCATGGCTGATTAAGTCATTGGCTGTTGGCAGTTGTTCAACTTTCAGCCCCTCTGCCCTACCTGGAGAGTTGGGTTGGGGAGACTGAAAGTTCCAATTCTGTAATCACATGGTTGGACCCCTGGCAACCACGCCCGATCCTTTGAGGCAGTCAACAAGTTACCTTATTGGCATAACAAAGACACCTATATGGCCATCCCTTTGGAAATTCTAACAGTTTAGGAGCTGTGTGGAAATACATATATAATATATATACTATATAAGTCTAATTAAATATATAACATTATATAAAGTATATATAATTATTTTAGAAAATACATAGTGTATATATAATATATATATGTATATAATATATATATATGTATATTAGGTCTTAACCCCCTTTCCATACAGCTCCTAAACCCTTAGCATATATATTTTCTAGTTTTTATTTCCAGTCAGTTAACTACAGTGTTGTATTAATTTCAGGTGTTATATTTATTATAAATCACAATATCATAATATGGTATGTGGAAGAATGTACTATCAAGGTTCAAAAAAAAAAAAAAAGAAATGATAGGCCACCTAAAATATTACTGAGAGTTATTAGTACCAAGTAGCTAATTTTACTGAAAGGGAAATTAGGTGTTTTTGGGTTTTTTTTTACAATCTTTGTCCTTATCTCTCATCCAGGTACTATGCTTACATCTGAAACGATTTCACTGGACTGCATATTTAAGAAACAAAGTTGATACCTATGTAGAATTTCCATTGAGAGGCCTAGACATGAAATGCTACTTACTAGAGGTATGGTAAATTAATTACCTTTGCTAGGAGGTGCTAAGATGGCTTTTCAGTAAAATTAAGTCTTCACATTGATAGGAGCTGGGGTGTCATTGACCCCTGCTCCTAACTCAGTCCTGGATGTCTTCTCCCTTGTTCTATAGCCTGAGAACAGTGGCCCGGAGAGCTGCCTGTATGACCTTGCTGCTGTGGTGGTGCACCATGGTTCTGGGTAAGTGTGTCAGTGGCTTTTCTTATGATTGGTTTTCGAAAAGCACAGCAAAGGGGCACCTTGGTGGCTCAGTCAGTTAAGCTTCCAGCCTCAGCTCAGGTCATGATCTCACAGTTTGTGGGTTCGAGCCCCGCGTCAGGGTGTATGCTGACAGCTCAGAGCCTGGAGCCTGCTTCTGATTCTGTGTCTCCCTTTCTCTCTGCCCCTTCCCCACTCACACTCTGTCTCTGTCTCAAAAAATAAGTAAACGCTAAAAAAAATAAAAAGCACAGCGAAGACCTGCAATTTTGCACCACTCTTGATCATTCTCCGTCAACTCCTTAAAAATGGTTTCAGATTCATAACACAGGTGAGGTAGAACTTTCTTTCAGTCGTGGTGTCAAAGAATGTTCTGGAGAGGATGTTGTGAAGTTAGAAGAAAAGGCACATGAAAGCAAAATGGAGAAGGGTTCATTTGAGCTCAGCATTGAGAACCTATTTGTCCACAAAATCCTCAGTAGACTTTACTCCAAAGTTGTTTATTTCCTTTGCCATTTGACTTTTAAATTGGGGTAAAATGGGAAATTATTTGGAGTAACTTACTTCATATCATCTGTTTAAAGATTTTTTTATTTTATTGAATAATTTTTTTCTGGTAATTTTGTTACTAGTTTATGCTTTCTGATTCCTTGAGAATGGCTATTTTACTTTTAAACATGGACAAACCCCTATCCGCGTTGAGAACCCTTTTCCCTCAGAACTTTGTAGACATTGCTCCCTTGACTTCATCATTCCAGGGCCAAGTCCACTACAGGTCTGATTCTCATCTCTTTATAGGCAACTTTTTTTTTACTTACTGGAAGGTTGTAGGATCCTCTCTCTTCGGATTTAAGAAATTATAGTAGCTGTATTCCTGGCTTAGTAGTTGATAGGGACACTCTTTGGTGTCCTCAGCTCATGGAAATATTGTTTGTTCCACCCCATTCTCTCCCTGTTACATGTGTGGCAATCCCTCCGTATCTGCAAAGATACATTCCAAGACTCCCAAGTGGATGCTTACAATCATAGTAACAACTCCTATATATACACTTTATTTTTTCATGTACATACAGACATACCTATGATAGCTTAATTTATAAACAATTATAATATTAATTATAATTGTGACAGTGTTAGGCTTCTCTTGACCTTTGGACAATATATTAGAAAGCATCATCTCTTGGACCGCAGCTGACTGTGGTAAACTGAACCGTGGAAAGGGAAACTGAGGACAAGGGGTGACTATTATATAGTGAATTTTCTGGTTCTTTTCCACATTTTAACCGTTGTTTAATGATTTCCATCTCTGTTTCTTAAGACTGCCATGGCCTATTTTTCCAAATCACCAATTTGGATTTCATCTGTACCCAAATTGAAGATGACATTTTTGATACCATGGCAATCCCATTTTTCTGGTAACTCCTTTTCCTAACAAACATTTTTGTTTTATGGTTGCGCTATCTTTTTTAAACCATTGGTATTAATAAGAATTTTTAAAGCTCTTTGGTTTTCTGCATTAAATTTGTTAGTGGTTAATTGCTTGTTCTTCCCAGTACTTTTCTTTCATACTGTGTCCCCACCGCTGCCCCCCCCCCCAAGGGTTTGATGATTTGGGGCTATTTAGAATCCTAATAGATGATATTATTATTGATAAATGGTAAGGGTTTGTCTAGCATTTACGAAAAGTGTCTGTTCTACCTGAGGCTTTTCTCTCATCTGGGAGGGCTGACTATAGGGCTGACTGTATGGCTGAGTGGGTGGGTCATGCTGAGAGAGAAAAGCCCTTTCCTGGAGGCAGATTACTTTCTTAAGCTCAGGTTTTTTCCAAGGCTGTGATGGAAATCTGTTCCTCACTTTTCCATGTGTCCATAAGCCTAGACCCATGCTTGTTAGGTTGAGCTCCTTGGCCCCTTTGGTGTTTCCATTAACCCAGTGCTATGTGAACACTGCTTTTAGGTGATGTAGAACATCTTCAGTTCCTGCTCATTCAATGGCCCTCTTCCCTCTTATTTCCAATGCCTGCACATTCATTGTTACTTCCGTGAGTTTTGAGGAACATACACACGAGTTTAGTCCGCCATCTTAAACCACAAGTCCCTAGGACTTATTCTTTATTACAGTATTTATAATTTATTGCATATCTAACAGATTATATGATTGCGCAGATCCTTCTGTTATTTCTGTAGTCCTTTTCTTTCATTTTTTTTACGTTTCCTTATAGGGTCGGTTCTGGACATTACACAGCATATGCAACTCATGAAGGTCGCTGGTTCCATTTCAATGACAGTACTGTAACGCTGACTGATGAAGACACCGTTGTGAAGGCAAAGGCCTACATCCTTTTTTATGTGGAACGCCAGGCCAAAGCTGGATCAGATAAACTTTAATACCTCCTTTAAATCATTATTTGTCAACTATACCGGACAAACATTTCCAGTTTTCCGTAAATACTTGATCCGAGATTTAATTTCATTATGCACTTTTCAATTTCCTATTTTTGGTTTAGTTTTGTCAATGGTAGTGACATATTAAACATGGGCACCAACTAATTTTTTTTTTAGTTCTACCAGAAAACCTCAGCAGATACTTTGATTTGCTGCTTTAGTTGTAATAATTGTTTTTATATGTAGTTTCAAGAACTTAGTTCTATTTGACTTTTTTTATATTAATGTTTTCAATTCTCACTTTGAGGCACATTTACATCAATGCTTTGTTACTGTCACATGCTGAAAGCAAGATATGTTCCTGATTGCGAAGAGCAGAACTGCCTGCTGCCTTTCACAGCTGTAATGGGAGATCAGGTGGACTCGAAATCCAGGATCATGTGCGCACATCATTTGTGGCCCACAAGATTTCAGTGACTGTCAGTAATCGTTCTTTTCGATTTTAAGAGGTAACTGGGAGAGCATCATTAAGTAGACCAGGTGATTGCTGCTCTTGGTATCTCTCAAGGCTGCTGCTTATCAGCACTGATTAAATAAATTTGTTGGATCACTTGTACCTATACTGCAAATTCAAGAATTAGTCCTTTGAAGTTTTATTTTGTTTCGGGGTTATTTTTTGCTTGCGTGTGTTTTCATGGAGAGAAGAGTACAGAAAAGTCCAGATAAGACCAGATACATTTAGTGTTTAAAAATGTCTGTGACTCAGCTACACGGTATAGATACTGTCAGGTGAGGAGACCACAGCTTGTTTGCCTTTAGAATCAGACTCTAGTTCCCCCACTGTCCGTGGTGCTGGATGGAAGGAACTACCTGTCCACTTTTGCCTTATTTCTTGCTTGGCCATCTCAAGTTGAGATGCTGACCTCCAGAGCTGATTTGACCATCACCTACACTTCCCAGAAGGAAATTTGAGTCTTTGCTACTTTGGGTTTTAACAACTCCCACTGGCCTATCCTGATAGCAGAGCAAGCTGAAAATATTCTCACTGTGAACAGAGAGTTTCTATTCTTGAGTGTAGCAGTCTTGGTTTTAAAACTGTGTTCAAGAAACATAGGTACAAGCTCCATTAAGATTTAACTCAAACTGAAATTTGGAACCAGAATTCCATCTAAGGTAATTGTGATTTCTGCAAGTGTTCCAGGATTGTTGATTTGGGGGTGGGGTGGGGGGCAGTGGCAGCACTGATGAAGGAATCAGAGAAAGGGACTCCCAGAGAGGGTTGCACCTTAGGACTAGGCACGGTTTTCAGGTTCATCTCTCATTCCAGCCTTTATTTTCTTCTCAAGTGTCTACAAGTCACAAGGGGCAGAATGTATTTCATATTAAGCCAACCTACCAGACTTTTTGGTAATCTTGTTTTTTTCTATTAAAAGAAAAAACTGTCAAGTTTTAAGTGCATGAATGTAAAATAAAGTCTAACAGCTGTCCTCAGGGTGGATATTTGAAGTTGCAAGAGAAGATGTGGCTCCATTTCAGTATTAGCTAGGTAGATCTCCTATTCTCTCAGAGCAAAAATCAGCTGCTCAACACTTTAACATAGCCAGGAGAAAACTGCAATTGTGTCTAAACGTGTACTATCCACTATGGTGGTCACCAGTTATATGTGGTTAACATTTAAGTAAAATTAAATTTAGGGGCGCGTGGGTGGCTCAGAAGGTTAAATGTTCAACTTTGGCTCAGGTCATGATCTCTTGGTTCCTGAGCTCGAGCCCCACATTAGATTCTGTGCTGACAGCTCAGAGTCTGGAGCCTGCTTCGGATTCTGTATCTCCTCTCTGCCCCTCCCATCCCCCCCCCTCAAAAATAAACATTATATATTTTTTTCAATTAAATTTCAAACTCACTTCTTTGGTCACACAAACCACATTCCAAGTGCTCAGCAGCCACATGTGGCATAGGACTGCTTAGGTCTAGGGCAGTTCTCTTAGATAGCAGTGGTCTAAATTTTCACTCCAGAGAAAAAAGCTTTGCCTTTATGTTTAGGTCTGACACCTTAGAAACAGAGTCTAGGAAGATAATTAAGAGGGCAACATATATTTTAAATAGTTTACACTTCTAAATTACATTAGGTTGAACCATAGGAAGTTTGTGGTATTTGCTTTTTTGATCTACAAAAGTGAAAGTTTCACATAATTTGACCTATTAATATATTAACACCACATGTAATTGAACTTGGAATGTGCATCTTCTTGTTCAGTATCCCCTATGAATTCAGGCTCTTTTACTGAGATGGTATATAGCTGTGACTTCTAACATTTGCACTTAGATTATTCCCTCTTAATGGGCAGCTGCTACGACTTCAACAATAAAGCCTTGGGCAGTGTTGATATTGGTGGAGAAAAACTGTCTTTTCGTACCAAAAGGAACTTAGTGACAGCCAGACTGCTTTGCTGGGGGAAGGTGGTCCTTAGACAGGTAACATCATTGGCTTAAGAGATGGACACATTTCCTCTTTGAATTTTTAGAGTATTTTTAGTGCTTGATTTTACTTAAGCAGAATGTTTGAATGGTGTTATGAAGGAAGGCTGTTTGGAAAAGTGATTGGATCCATTTGAACTGTGCATTTGAACACCAGTGATGTAAATGTGCCTATTCGTATTTACAAAATTTAACTGTGTAGCCTTATCACACCTATTTTAAAAGCTGATCTTTGTGTGCTCTTCAGGGCTTTCCCCTTGTGCCATGTCGTCTGTGTGTGTGTGGCTTCTCGCGCAGAGAGCTTATGCTGAGGTGGTGCCTCATGCTGTCACACCTCTCCCCTGGAACAAGAAAACTTCCTCAGAAGTCCTCCCACACAGGTGGGTGATAGAAACAGTTTGTGGCAACACAAATCTCTCTCCATGGTGGAGAAACCTTTGCTTATCCACTGTATTCTACTCAGTGTCTAGTGATGACAAATGTAATAGAATTAAACCAGTGAAGTGTACAGGCCCCGGTCAAGTGTTAAATGTGTATCTCACCTGGGGAACCTACTCAGCAGCTTGGTTCTGCAGTTGGGGACATCTTTATTTCTTAACAGCCAAACCTCTTTCATTGGTTTAGTGTACATAAGTCTATTTAGATACGCTTCTCCCACTTCGGCCCCCAGCGTCCCCTAAACTCCCTCATGTACTCTGTGGCTCAAGTGACCTCTTCACTGGGCCCTGAAAAGGCTCGTGAGCAGTCTGTTTCTGCGGCCAGGGCACCGGTCCCAGGGGACTGGGGTGTAGCCACAGGAACGGGCTGCGGTGCAGGAAGAGGCAGCCACGTGGTGGGTCATGCTGGAGGGCAAGGTCTCCGCATCGCCTCGCGGGTCTGAGCATGATGGACTCCAGAGCGCCCTGCCCTCCGCCGGTGCTGGTTGTGTCTGATGTGACCGTTTGCCGCGAAAGCCTCGTTTGTGTGATGCGAGAGGATTAACTGTGCAAGTGACTAATTTCACTTATGTTGTAATCACATCCCTTTTCTGCTTCACCAACCTGAACTGTTTTATGGATGAACGTATCATTAAATTTCTGGTCTCTTTCCTCTTGGCTATTATTTCTGAGCTCCTTTCATGGGAGCCAAGGAAGTAATGGTGCACTTGCTCCAGCCATGGGCCTTGTCAGTCAGTCAGCAGTTTGCTTCTCAACCCTCCCTATCTGGGGCCGCCAGAGTACAGAGGCCAGGATGGAGTGACTTGCAGGGACAGATAGTGGCGGGAAGGGACACCCTGGCACCTGCCATCAGGTGCTGGAGGAGCAGCCTGTGTGCACCAGAGCCAAGTGAGATCACCCTGCCTCTCCTGGCACAGCTCGTCCTATCAAGTGCCGTCTGCTTGCCTCCTTCAGAGCTAGACCCCACCCTGAGGAACTGGCTTTTGGGCTCTGAGCAAAGGATGTTTCTTGGTCACCTTTTAAATAAAGTAAGACAGGCAAATAAAGTGCCACTCTTAAGAAATAAACATTCTGGTTTTCAGTAAGCTCCTATATATATATATATATATATATATATAGGAGCTTACTGAATATATATATACACACGACCCCTCTGCCCCCATGGTCCCTGGAGAATGAAAACACAAGAACCATCCCCCTCTCCCCCCTCCACATCCCTCCTTTTCCCCTCTTACTTATTGGCCTGCTCCTGTCAGTCTTCCACCTTTGGAGACAGAGGTGCCAGAAGCGCACATGGTTTTGCCTCCAGCTCCCATAGGCAGCTGTGCTGGTCAGAGGCTCACGGGCCAACTGGGAGCCATAGTTGTCAACAGCACCCTGGCGGTCCAGACCCTCCCTGCAGGCCCGCCTGCCTCCGTGGGCCCACCCCCTGTTCTGGGATATTCCTCCCCTCCCCCAGGCTCTGAACGTTGGCCCTGCCAGCCTGGAACTGTTCCAGCAGGGCCTCAGGACTCTGTGGACGCCACAACAGACCACAAGGACTTGCCAGTGGCCAACCTTTTAAGAAGTTCAAAGAACCACCTATTTCTAAGAGGTCAGCCCTCTGAAAAGTACTGGTTTGGAAAGGAACTGGGAGGGAAAGTGGAGATCGTAAGGCTTTCTATTAAAACCCAGCCGAGCATACCGTTAGACTGGCTAAGTGCAACCAGAGCCAAAGAGGGGCCGTGGCTATCAGCTGTACTTGTGAACCATTAAAATGGTTAGTATGGAACATTAGCTGTGACTAGTGACCCTTTCCTTGAGAAATGCTTCTTTTAGCGGTCTCTTGGTGTATGTTTTTAAGAAAAGTCACCCTTTCCACTTCGCCTTGGCCGTGCTGGGGTAACTAAGCACACGGGACCGCTAAGTCTGGTGTCTCAGAGGTTTCCTTAGCTGAATTATGGTTTGTTTTGTTTGGGGTTTATTTCCCAGAGAGAGTGGTAGGCTCCAGGGGGGGGGCAGAGAGAAGGGGACAGAGGATCCGAAGTGGGCTCTGTGCCAACAGCAGCAAGCCTAGTGCAGGGCTCGAACTCAAACTGCGAGATCATGACCTGAGCCGAAGTCAGTCAACCGACTGAGCCACCCAGGCACCCCTGCATCATGCTTATTTCAAAGGCAAAGCTGCACCAGGAATGACTAAGCCTTAGTCTGCATTCATCTGCATTATAGCCACACAACTGGACACCTAGTATCCCCTTATGTCCAATTCCAATCAAATGGGAGAATGAACAAAGCTAACTTACTTAGATGGTGTTCCCTGGAGCAGAGAAATAGCTGGTCCATGCCTCATGAGGCAGCATGCAGCCTTTGGCCTTTCCCCAAACAAACTAACAGAGGGGCATACAATGCCGGTAATTCACAATAGCAGAATACAGTAGGATCCGGGATGGTAGAATGCGGGATGGGAGTGGGAGTGGAGTATTAGAAAATAGATCCACGTACTGAGAAATCTAAATTACGTCAGGAAAGGAGAATTTAAGGGATGATGCCTCCAGGCAGCCTGCCTAGGCTCAGGGGCCCAGTTATGAAGGCATTCACAAAGAGGATGGTGTGTGGCTGGCTTAAAGGGCAAGCTTAGGCTAAAATACTTAGAATTGTTTCAGGCAGTTTTGTACTAAGAGCTACCTTATCCATCCTGACATTTTGGGAAATACAGACGAGATACAGCAGGGCTCTTAGCCGGAAAAATAGTAAGATGTAAAGCCAAGTAAACTGAAGCTTAAAAGGTTCCACAAATACACACCGAAGAACCTTGACAGCTAAGCTACTTGAGGGGAAGCTTTGCGAAACAACTCAAGGTAAAAAACAGCCAGCTGGGAGGCCAAGGCAGTCCAGTCGCCTGGTGGAGGGTAGCAGGATTTGAAGGTGGTCCAGCCTGGCCTGCAAAACTCACAGGAAAGGGGGCATTACCCATGGCTTCACCTTCCCCCTCTGCACACAGAACTGTCACCCTTAGCTCTCTAGACAACAGGCTGCTTCCTACTAAGTCAAACAGAATACTCCTATTGATACACTAGAAAATGAAAACATACAATTTATAATTAGGGTCTCTCCCAGTGAGCGGAGACTGCAGGCCTAGACAGGTGGTCTGGCCGTCCACCCTCCAATGAAAGTGCCTTGGGAAGAGCCAAGAGAGCTCTCTGCTAAGCACCACTGTCAGCTAAAAGGGAAAGAAATCCCTTTTAAGGAAGCTATTTAACTTCAATAGCCTGCTTTTCTGCCAGGATTTTCAATTCCTCTGAACATAAGCCGAACCACAGACTGCTACACGTATGTCTAGATCTTGGCTTGGGGGGGGGGGCCCCCCCGTTCTCAGAGCTTCAGCACCAGTTGTTAGCCAAAAATAAACACCATTCCTCAACCATATATGTCCACCAGCCCAGAGCGGGGGAGGAGGAGCAGGAGGTAGGGCAGGTCCCCGGGCTCCGGCCACACACTGTGGCTGCTGCACACCATGCATCTCACCCAGCTCAACCGGGAGTGCCTGCTGCACCTCTTCTCCTTCCTGGACAAGGACAGCAGGAAGAACCTTGCCAGGACCTGCCCCCAGCTCCAGGATGTGTTTGAGGACCCCACACTCTGGCCCCTGCTGCACTTTCACTCCCTCGTAGAACTCAAGAAGGACAACTTCCTGCTGAGCCCAGCCCTCAGGAGCCTCTCCATCTGCTGGTACTCTAGTCGCGTGCAGGTGTGCAGTATTGAGGACTGGCTCAAGAGCGCCTTCCAGAGGACCATCTGCAGCCGGCATGAGAGTCTGGTCAATGATTTCCTCTTCCAGGTGTGCGACAGGTAGGCCACCTCCTGAGCAGAGCTGGCTTTGGTGGGGTCTGGATTCTAGAGCTCTAGGAGACTTCTGGGGGACAGGGAAGAACAAACCACAAGACCAAGATAGCTCCATTTGGGGGAGAATCTAACTAGGCCCAAGGCAGAATGTCCCGGCCTGTCCACAGCACAGTCCCCAGACGATGAGGAGTACAGTCGTGGGGATTCTCTTCCTCTTAGCCTCACAGGTCCTGGAGCTGCTTCTGCCACAAGGAGGAAGCATTCAGGCAGCTGTCCACCCTGGCAGCCATTAAGACCTCAGGGGGTCTGGCTGGGCCTCTATTTTCAAGGTCAGGCCCTGGGAAAGGTTCTTAGACTCAGCTATTAGCTTCCACCTCCACTCTTCCCCTAGCAAACAAACTCCAAGGTTTGTGACATGCAACTAAGGAAGGAGAGCAAGGGTGCTCTGGGTTAGTCGAACCAAGCCAGACTGCAGGGGGAGGAGGGGTGGTGGTATTGAAGAATGGTTTCCTCATTAGAAATTTACTAATCTCACTGTACCCCTAGGGAAGGGTGTTTTGGCCTATTTTTACAAATGAGCAAATCAAAGCTCTGAGAGATCATGTGATTTGCCCATAGCCTAGGATTACTGGATTTTAGGAAAAAAAAAAAAAAATGCAAGACATCCAGTTAAATTTGAATTTTAGACGAAATTAATTTGTTTAAATGTTTATTCATTTTTTGAGAGAGTGAGCTAGCGAGCATGAATGGGGGACGGGCAGAGAGACAGGAAGACACAGAATGCGAAGCAGGCACCAGGCTCTGAGCTGTGAGCACAGAGCCCGAGGTGGGGCTGGAACTCAGGAACCACAAGATCATGACCTGAGCCAGTCGGAAGCTCAGCTGACTGAGCCACCCAGGCTGCCCCTAATTTTCTGATGTAAGTATGTCCCAAATACATCCTGTACTCATCCGTCAGGCCTACCATGGGTAGAGGCTGAGCCACAGGCAACCCTCCATGGTCTCACCCTCCTAAGGTAGCCCACACAAGCAGACTTCCGCTGCCAGCCTCTCTCTCAGCCTGTATTTACCAGTCCTGTCCTGACTTTGAGGAAGAGCACTCTTGGTTGGTAACACACTAGGCTCCGCCAGTTTGCTGCCACCCAGGTTTAAAAGCTGCTGTTTACTGGCAGCATGACAGGAATGAAAGCAAACAGTGTGGTGGCCCCGCCCTGCCTTTTTTTTAAGGCAGCAGGAAGAAAAGCCCATCTTGGCTAGGCCCTGCCGGGATGAGGCCATCTTGATGGGTTTAACAAGGCCCGGAAATCAGACTGGAGCGACATATACGGGAGGGTCACGCCTGCTCTCAAGTTGTTCCATTCTTGCTGTAAGAGAGCTGACAAGGTACGGATTAGGTCCCTCGTGGCACCATGTGGGTGCAGCAAGGGGCCCCAGTGACACAAAAAGAACAAAGGGCTTGGTGGTCAGGGTTCCGTGCGGAGTCTCCCAGCTCTGCTCCTGTCCAACCATGGGAGCCCAGCCCAAACATTTACACTCTTTCAACCTACTTTCTTGATCTTTAAAATGGGATAAGTCACCTTTCTCACAGGCTAAGAGGATTAAATGACACAGTAGCACTGGCACACAGTGGATACTAATATCCACCAAATCCGGTTCTTTAAGCAATCGGCTCTTGGCAGGTAGAGACGGGAAAACAGGGAAGGATGGCAGGGAAGGAGTCTGCTTTCTCTGTTTTGTTCCTACAAGCAAGATTATTCTAAAGGTTCTTACAACAAAAGGGACCACTCACCATCTTTGTGGCTTAAACACTTAATCATCATAACCACCCTGAAGGTAATAATTTCTCCCGCTTGACAGATAAGGAGGACTAGCACAGCTCAGGCATTTGTCCTTGGTCAGAGCGCAATTAAGTTACAGGCAAGTTACCTGAGCCCTCGTTCACACAACAGGGTGTAGACAGAGGATTGGATATGAAGACTAAAGAAGCCATGTGAACTTGGGGAGGTGGAATGGGCTCAGCACCTGAAATGAGGTGGTGCCCAGTCTGGTACAGTCAGGGGGTTAAGGGAGAAGCTTATCGGGAAAGGGAAAGCCCCAGTCTAGACGCCAGCTCCTTCTGACTACAGGGAGCCAAGGCCCCTGCCCATGAGACCGGTCCTTCTTGACTGCAAAGCTGTCTGGTTCTGTGTGCTCCCAGAAAAAGTGAGTTACAATTGCCTACAAAAGGCCCTAAGGCTCTTTACACCCCCCATCTCAATCTTCACTACAACCCCACCGGTAGGCATTATTCCCTCCCTGCTGTGCCTGCCCCACTTCCCCCAAGAAACTAAAGCTCAGTGAGTGGTTTAGCAAAGGTCACACCGCAAATAAGCCAAATCTAACTTCTGCTCAAGATTCTTCTCAGCAGCAGGTGCTGGTTAGGTTGGGGCAGAGGAGCCTCCAAACTGTGTAGAAGTGGCCCTGACTATACCCACTTCACTCTGGTTCCTGACCTTTTCTAGGCTGGCATCCCAGTGGGCATGCAATAACTGTCTCAGTTAACTGAGCTGAAACCCGGGCTCTAGAACCCAGAGCCAGGCATACTGGAAGAAATGTCCCGACCCCAGATTCACGGGTTGAATGTGCCTGTCTCTAAGCCACCCTACAGGAAACCCTTGTTCCCACCTGACCATCCTCCCAGGAGCATCAAGGCCTAAGTTTGAAGCTAGACTCGATTGGTCACCCAGCATCTCTTCTCTCACCCCAAAGCAAACAAGTCTGGAGAGAACCCAAGAACATCCAGAGTTGTCCACCTACAGCAGGACCAGGGGCGGCTCACGAGGCTGAAAGCCACACAGATTAAAGTTTGGTGGAATGGAGAGGCAGAAAGTAGGGGAAATGGGACAGAAGCCTTGGTTTTGATCCTGGCCGCGGCATCGCAGGCCAAGTTCCTTAAACTTGCTGAGTCCCTTTCCCTGTTTCCGTGCCCACAATATGCAGAGAGTCCCAGCGTTGTTAGGGGGCAACCTGGCCTGGGAGCTCCAGGACCGGGCGCGGCCCAGGGCAGACGCAAATCGCGACCCCGCGGGCCCCTCCCGGGGTCACTACGATCTCTCCGCAGGTGCCCCAACCTCGAGTCCGTCACGCTTTCAGGATGCGGCCATGTCACCGACGACTGCCTCGTGCGCCTACTGCGCTGCTGCCAGCACTTGCGTGCGCTGCGCCTGGAGAACTGCGCGCGCGTCACCAACCGCACGCTTGCTGCTGTGGCGACGCACGGGCGCGCGCTGCAGACCCTGCACGTGGACTTTTGCCGCAACGTGAGCGCGGCCGGCCTGCTCCGCCTGAGCGCCGCGTGCCCGCGCCTGGCGCTGCGAGCCGAGCACAGCGCGACGATGATCCCCGACCAGCTCCCCAGGGCGCCCGGCACTGCCCTTCGTAAGCTACTGCCGCGCTAGGCAGACGGCGCCGAGGCACGACACGCGGCCAAGGGCCGCCGGGCGGAAGGAGCAACCTGGTTTCCAACCACAGCCCCTCCACCTCCCAGAGCGTTGTCACACCTCTGAAGCTCAGTTTCCCTGTCTGCAAAATTGGGACACTAATGCCTACCTCACATTAATGGCGGTTTTACGCACAGGAGTGCAAGATTAACCGGATGCTGGGAAAACACTCGGATATTTCTCAGTAAACACCAGCACATTTCCCGACGCCCTTCTGCCCCAGGTCCTCAACCACACACTGCCTGCAGCAGCGGGACAGGCCTGCACCACGCATGGACTACAATCCCTGGCGGGGGCCGAAATACCCGCACGGGGAGGCGTGGCCACCGGGAACTCTCCGGCATCGCGCAAGCGCCCTAGGAACGGGGGTGGGGCGACCTCCGCAGCCGGCCTCTCGTCCCGCACTACGTCTGCGGCTCCGGCTTCCCAGGAGCGTGGCCTCCGTGCAGCGCGAGCGGGCGGGAGAAGTGGGGGACCCGGGACTCACAGCCGGAGAGAGCCACCGAACCCGCCACCGCGGCCCTGTCGCCCGCACCTTTGCTCGGTGGCCGGGCGAGCCCGCTTGCCTTTCCCCAGCAGAGACCGCACACAGAATTCTAGAAAATGCGCTGGTAGATGTGATTCTTTCATAAATAGCATATCCTTATTTTCTATGGTTATCTTATCACAAAGGCAGAAGAAATCGTTTGAAAAACCCTAAGTAAAGATTTGAAAACAAGAGCAGCAGCCCCGGTTAAGTCTCTTGATAATGAAACCAATTAGAAGCTGATACAAAGTTAGATTTTTACATGCTGGACTTGCTCAACATGGGCACACGCCTTGACTTAACAATTTCAGGGCTTTAGTCACTGATGTCTCACCTTTAGCCACAAAGTATAGGCTCTCGTCCAGGCAGCAGCCTCCGGGTCCCAGGTACGCGGTGAAAACTCGGGTTAAGAGAGGAAGGCAGGGAGCCATGGGCCGGCGGGCAGGCGACGCTCACGCTCTGGCTCCGCCCACCACCAGCGGTTACCTATGGCCTTTAGGCACTTGAGGCCAGGTGTTTCTTTTCTGGGAAAGAGGCTCTCCATCCCTACTCACGGTTGCCCAATATTGGGGAACCAGCGAGGAAATTCCATTCTCACGGAGCTTACCTTCTAGTAGAAGGGACAGTAATTGGTATATAAAATGACAATAAAGCTACGGTGGCGGAAGGTGGGGAGGAAGCACCAGGGAAGGGGATGTCTGGCAACTGCTGGCGAAGGTTTGGGGAGAGGGAAGCTACTTAAAAGGGGTTGATCAATATAAGCCTGAGTGGCAGCATCTGAAACAAGAAGTGAGGGAGGGGGCCAAGCAGCATCTGGCAGGAAAATATTCCAGGTGGAGGGAAGAGCCGGTGCAAGGCTCCAGACCAAGAGCAGAGCCCGTGACTTAGGGGAGGCCCGGTGGTTAGCGTGGGCGAAGCAGAGTGAGTGAGGAGGAAAGGTGAGCAGAAAAGGAGATCAGAGAAATAGGGATGTGGGCGGCCGTTGGGGCCTCAGAGGTTATTGTGAACAGGAAATGAGAGCTGGAGGTCCCCCACCCAACCTACCCGCAGGAGCCAGGGCCCCAAGCAGAGATGATATACATGTAGGTGACTCCCAGGAGCTGAAATTTCTCCAGGCAGAACCTGTGGGCAGGCAAGCAGCAACCCAGCCCATCCCAACCCCTCCAGGGACGGCCAAAAAGGCCTCAGCTGCGCCCAGGCCCCCTTGTCTCGCCGGCGCTTAGCCCAGAAACAGGTGGGTAATTGCACTGAGGCCACACCTGGCATAGTTCCTTCACACCCTTGTGTAGGGAGAGCCCGCTGCCTCAGGCCGGCAGCTACTCTGGAATGGGAGGGCCCCACTCCTCCGGGTGGGTAATTTTCCAGTTTACCCACCATAGCTCCGGACTCTAGAAGGAGGCCTTGCCGGCCTTTCCCCCACTCCTGCAAACAATGTTTAAAGAAAGCTCAGGCTTCCATGGGGTTAAATGTTTGTTTAAAATAGCACCACTTAAACCCTGGGCTTTGCTTTTATTATCTCTGATAAGCCTGAATTCTCAGCAGGTTCTGTTTGCCCTGAGTTGGGGGGTTTAGTCTGGGGAACAACAGAATCCTAGTTTCTGGCTCTCCTCTGACTGAGAGCAGTCAGCCTTCTCCAGACCTCACCTTTTTTTTTTTTTTTTTTTTTTTAAGTTTTTTTTTTTGGGGGGGGGGGGGGGGGGGGGGGGGGGGGGTGGGAGAGACAATCCCAAGCAGGCTCTGAGATGTTGGCACAGAGTCCTACTCGGGCTCCATCTCATGAACTGTGAGACCATGACCTGAGCCAAAATCAAGAGTTGGACGCTTAACTGACTGAGCCAGGCGGGTGCCCCTGGCCCTCAGCTTTTTAATCTGTGGATTGGGATTGCTAGAGAATCTTGCTTGCAGGGCTCTTCTAAGGATTAAGACATTATGTGTGTAAAGCAGAAGTCACTGCAAGTTCAGCTGGAATAGGGTAACCTGAGGCCCCCTTTCCCTCTCCCTATGGAAGCTCTTTTACAAATGAGGGTTAAATCCCTTGTGGTGCCCAGTAATCCCCCACATACTGAGGCTGTAGTGACCACAGAACTGAAGCCGTGCTGACAGCTGCATCCAACACTATTTCTCCAGTGTGAATCGGGCCCCGCCCCCTCCCCGGGCGTGAGGGCCACCTGAGGTACAGCCAGAAGGCAGGCACTGATGAGATGGCTCTCCGATCTGCCTTCTAACAGGTGCTGTTCACATCAGTGGGCACTGAGCAAAAAGCCCTTGACAGAACAGTCAGTCCCCTGCTTGATCAGTAACAATGTTCCAGGTCTTCTCTCAGATTTGCATAGAACAAGGGACTTCACATGCCTAATTAACCCATGGACTCAATCATCTGGGGTTGCGGGGAGTGTTGAGTGATCTGCAGCTCTGCCATCCATCACTTCTGACAAGTTATGACCTCTCTGAGCCTGTTTATCTCTACAATAGGACCAGTACCCTCTCTGTGACGCTCTGATGAGATCAGGTCTAAATGTGCAGTTGCCTGGAGGGCTGGGGTAGGGAGAGGCGTCCTCACATCCACATCTGTGGGGGCCTGGAAAAGCCAAGTGCCTGGCAGAACCCACAAGGCCTGGGCACCAGGAAGAAGCAAGCAGGGTCTATATAGGGGTGATCCAGGAACACTTGATGGAGGACATCACTTGATTTGAGCCACGCTGGAAGATTGACCCCAGCTCCCACGGGGTCTGTGTTCCATCAGCAGGCACAGTTCAGCAAGGGTGCAGCCAGAAAGCCCAAGGCATCCCCACAGATGCCAGGGGAGACGGAAGCCTGTGTTCCAAAGCCACTTAAAATGGCTTGGAGGTTACGAGTGTCCTCACGGCTTCCATTAGAGCAGACTACAAACTCTCCAGCTCCTGAACGCACTCTTGACTCAGTTTTGGCCAAGGCAGCCAATGGCTACACAGAGGAAAAGCTAGGGGGAGGGCGCACAGCCTTGGCACGGGCACCCGGGCAGGACGGTGCTCCCCGGTGGAAGGCTGATGCCAGTCACCACATGGTGCCAGCTGGTCTGCACGGGAACATCAGTACTAGCAGAACCTGGAGCCGCACGCTCTTAGGTCAGGGGCTCCAGGATGCTCCTTGGCAGGTGGAGGCTCCCGGTGGGGGTGCCATGAGGTTTGTGTTACAGGAACACACAGGCCCATTTCTGCACAGGTGGGATGACTGGCGGGAACTAAGCTCTCTGGGTTCTACCATCATCGGTGGGCGCGCTCACAGGAAGCCAGGGCTCCCAGCTCTAGCCTGTACACACTTGTGATCCAGCACTTTCCCTCTCCAGACCTCAGGTTATGGTCTGTAAAAGGAGAGGTCCCCTGACCCCTTAGCTCTAGGATTCCTCCAGCTGTAGGATACAATGCCCAAGACGTTTTTTCGGCTAAAAACCAAGTTCAACACATCTGACTAGCAGGGCTGGGCAAGGGCCACAGAGCTGGGAGGCCCAGAACAAAGCTGCCCTTTGAAAGGCCTCTGGGGAAATCTTAATTTTTAAAACTTTTTTTTTTTTAACGTTTATTTATTCGTGAGAGGGAGACAGAGTGTGAGCAAGGGAGGGGCAGAGACAGCGAGAGACACAGAATCCGAAGCAGGCTCCAGGCTCCGAGCTGTCAGCGCAGAGTGAACACAGGTCTCGAACCCACAAACCGTGAGATCATGACCTGAGCCTAAGTCGGTTGCTTAAACGACTGAGCCACCCAGGCACCCCAGGGGAAAATCTTAAATTTTAAAAGCTGGGGGTCCAAATTCTCTGGAGACTATGTCAGGGTCAAAAAAACTGCAAGTATTTAACTGAATGAATCCAGAAAATAAAAAACTGCCCAAGCCTCTACAGAGAGGCTGAAAGTGAACTAGGGGATAAACACCTGTGCTGGGCCCACTTCAGCCCCTCAGACCAGGGACTTCAACCTTCCTCTCTCTCTCAGGGCTTCTAAAAATTAGCAAATTACAAAAGGAAAAAAAAAAAAAAGACAGGTTTCCAGCAAAGAAATGGCATCTGTTATAAAATCAAGGTGTCTATGCAGATTTTCCTTGCAGGGTCAGACCTCCTGAAAAGCCGTCCAGGAAGCCTGACAGGTGGCACCTGGAACCATGAGCATCAGCCTGCTGAGGGCACCTTTGCCCTACAATCAAGAATCAAATGTGGCAGCAAAGGTCAGAGCCTTTCAAAGGTTGAGGCATTATTTTTATTTAAAATAAACCCTGAGGGGCACCTAGGTGGCTCAGTCGGTTAAGTGTCCAACTTCAGCTCAGGTCATGATCTCACAGTCTGTGAGTTCGAGCCCCACGTCAGGCTCTGTGCTGACAGCTCAGAGCGTGGGGCCTGCTTCAGATTCTGTGTCTCCCTCTCTGCCCTTCTCCTGCTCATGCTCTATCTCTCTCCGTCTCAAAAATAACATTTAAAAAAATAATAATAATAAAATAAAATAAAATAAAATAAATAAAATAAAATAAAATAAATAAAATAAATAAAATAAAATAAAATAAAATAAAATAAAATAAAATAAAATAAAATAAAATAAACCCTGAGACTGCAGATGTAGCCTTCAGCTGGGCACACTCTCAGCCCAGCTCAGAAAGAGGGAAGAGCCACTTGTTACCAGGAACCAGCCCAGGAGGCTCTGAGAGACCCGTCTTCTGGCATTGTCCAAGACCTCAGGAGCACACAGAGGCCTCTCTCCTCTCAGTTCCCTCCTGGCCCAGAGGCCTAGGCAGTGTGTTTCCACCCCAGGCTGAGTGCTTTAGGCCCAGAGCCCTTCACCACTTCTGTTCCTGCCGACTGAGCTCTCACATCAAGTATTAAAGGTTCGTCTTTGCCCAGAACCCCTGTGGCTTCCCAGAAGCTGTAGTTTCTCCCTCTGAGACCCAATTCCAATTGAAGGCTTCTCTTCGACAAAAGTAACGTGTCGTTGTGACACGTATTATTAGGCACGGTCACTGGGAAATATCTATATAACACAAAACCGTATCTTTGTTCCAATTTCTCTTTGAAAACACTTATTTTCTACCTTCCTTCTGGAAAACAAGTGCCTGCAAAGCTCTCCATCTGGCACCTCATTTGACTGAACTGTCCTCGGTCCATGAAGTACTGCAGCAACTTGTGGCACGAACTGGCTGTAGATGAAGACAAACCACCCAAAGGCCTTGCCCTCTTCCTGTTCCCACTCCCGGCAGCCAGAACCTTCATAGCTGCTCTGGAGATAGCCCCCTCTCCCAGAACCACCCGCTCATTCTGACATGCCCACGAGTGTAACCCCTTCCCCAGCCCATGCACAACTTCCCACCATCCACCATTCAAGGATACGAAAGCCACTCACTGGTTCTCATATTATTCGCACATTCACCCGCTCATTCTCGTGGTCACTCATTCGTGCGTGCGGAGTGCCTACTAGCAATG